TCTGAGCATAACCAAGGTAGATAAAAGGCCATTATTAGACATTGGCCTCCCTTTATAAAGGCTCAAGATAATCTTCTGACATTAAATGTATTTGGACTCCACATAATCTTTTCACTCATGGAGTATTTACTCATTCACTGTTGGTATTCATAGTTGATAAGGGTCAGGTGTTGACACGACCCAGGAATGTGCTACCAGTACGCAATTGTATAAAATGGCCACAGAAAATATATACACTGTGTCCTGAGGGACGTACAATTATATTCACCATACCAAATACTTGACAAGAGAAGTAAAGGTCCCCTAATCAAAGCAATTATTAAATCTTACAAACTCAAAATGTGCACTATTTCCATCTTCATTACTTCACAGGAATGCTGATATTTCCAGTAAGGACACCAGGGATTTACCTCGAGTCCTGTATATCAGGGTCCCTGGGACTCATGCTTATAATTCTCAGGGGTCCTGGACAACACAATGGGGGTCCCAGACACTTCAATATTATTATTAATACTGTTATTGTATTGTGTATCATGATCAACACATTAATTGTTACAGTAATTAAATTACAAATGCTACCATAACCCAGCTAATAGCAAACTCAGTGATAACTTATTGTTACTTGATTGGAATTTTCACAAAAGTATTTGGACTTTTCTGCGTCCCTGTGGCTGCACTTAGAAATTTTGTTGCGTCCATTCAATTTTTATGTGTATACGATTCAGGAATTAGTGTCCTGTAAATCCTTGGGACACTTGAAATCAGTTATGTGGGCCGTCTTAACGCCTAGTTTGGTAGGTGAAAGTGAAAAACTGATAAGGGTATACCGTATATTTTTACTTGCTCGGATCCAAAGTAATTGGCATGGTAAACTAAGAGTTTTCAGAAGGCAATTCCTCTTAATTGTGCTTACATTGCTGTTTCAGTAAATTTGCTGTCCATATCAAGCCCAAACTGTGTAACATGTGTGTCACAAGCATGATACCTTATTCAATAAACACAGCACATGACGTTTTGGTGTTATGCCCTGCAGTAGAGTTTATATGCACATGATGCCTGCGTATCATCAGTCAAAAATATCTGTAAATACATACAGCCACGCAGGCTGAACATTCTTAGGTGTGGTAGGCATATACAGTGTCGACATTCTACTAGCTTTCATTTGTTTGTTGTTTGTTTGTTGCTTAATGCCACACTCAGCAACATTCCAACTATATGGCGACGGTCTGTGAATAATCGTGTCGGGACCAGACAATCCACTGATCAACAACAAGAGCACTGGTCTACACAATTGGGAAACGATGACGTGTGTCAACCAAGACGCCTGACCACCCGATCCCCTTAGTGGCCTCTTATGAGAAGCATGGGTTGCCGAGCAATTCTAACCTGGATCTGGGTTTGTAATATGTTCATGCGTATTGGTTCATAGCATCTCAAAATAAATTGGGTTAAGGTGACTTAATGTGCATATTTTACCCAAACATGTAGCTTTCCTTGAATTCTGCAGCATAAAGGAAAATGAAACCTTGTGTCTGGTGAGACTAACATAATATTTTGAGCAGTCTGAACACTGATTATTTGCTGATACATTAAGAGAAACTTATCCCTTGTGTCTATGCAGCAAGATTAGTCTAGGTCAAGTTGCCATTCTATGGTAATTAGCTAACTGAGCTGTTTCCAGGCAAAACTCCCAGACAGTCTCAGATGTCATCCAAAGTGTCTAAAAGATTATTTTACATCTGTCAGGAACAGAAATGCATTTGGTTTCACGTAGAAATGTGCCCTTACAAATAAGAAGAATCCTTTTGAACTTGGTAAATGTCATTTCTCCATGAGCTTCATAACAAGCAGTTATAGAAGATATGGTTCTTTATTTTGAATGGACTGACACATACTATTAAATTTCTGAATACAGATCATTGTTTTATGAATCACTTTCTATGTGAGGCATGTTAAGGACATTTGTACATACAGGGTTATCAGACATACTCTTTTAAATGAGCATTTATCACTGTCATGCCAAAAAATTACTTCCACAAGGATTTAAAGAAACATACATGATTTATGCATGCCCAACAATTATTCATCAGTAACCCATGCTAAAAACCCAATGAACTGAGAATTGGGTGGCTACAGTGTGTTGATTGTGTGTCATCTGCAGTTATCTCCTCATGACAACTACTGGTAAACTTCACTTGGAAATGAGTGAGTTTGGTTTTACCTCGCTTTTAGCAATATTCCAGCAATATCACGGCGGGGTACACCAGAAATGGGCTTCACACATTGTACCCATGTGGAGACTCAAACCCGGGTCTTCGACGTGATGAGCTTCAACCACTAGGATACCCCACGCCCCTCTGACCTAACCAACCATCATGATTGATTACTGAGGTGTAAAACAACATTCATTCACTCAATACCATACACATTCGTGTATGAGTATGAGATTAACTTGCTTGGAAATATCTATCAGATTTAACATGTACAGAACGTGGCACAGACAGGGCTAGAATCAAAACACTTTTGGGATTCAAACCCACAACCTTATCCGCTCACAATGAAAGACCTATGTACCCACAAGTTAACAATATCCCTGAGTGTCTGCTTGGTTTGGAAACAAAGCCTGAAGAGATGAAGGTCTCGGGTGCTTAACACTAGTGGTGGTCCGATTAAATGAAATAATCGAAGATTGGTCGCAGTGACTAAACGACCAAGCAATCGATCATGTTTTCTCATAATCGAACACAAACAATTCTAGTACACTTGTTTTCATTAACACTATTTTTCACTAGGTTGGTTTTGTCTGTTACATTTCATAAGCACTACAAGCTCGTTCCAAGTCATGATTGAATTTATCTTAAAGACTCTAAGAAATTTATGTTCCTCCATACTAGTCATCCTTTAAAGATGTGAAATTTTGCCAAAAAAAACCCAAAGAATTACATGGTTTTTTCCTTATTTTTTGTGCATTAACACATTTCATAAATGACGCTAACCAATTATTTTCGATGATTGATCGGTTGTAATGAACCAATCATCAATTATGAGATTTTAACCAATTCCCAACACTACTTAACACTGGTGAAACTCACGAGCACAGGTATGAGGCTAGCAAAGCTAGGATTGTAACCAACATGATCGAAGCAATTGAAAGTGTCAGTATTTCATTGACAGCATGGATTTTGTACTTGTATTTTCACATTCATGACAGCTGATCACCTGGATTTCAACCATGATGTGTCTGTTCCACAAGCTATAACTATCTGGTGATGGACTGATGTGCCATATGTTGAGTTTATTGAAGATAATATTTGTACACAAGTCACAAACACAGTGAAAACAGTAGCTAAGCACATCGTCATGGTATTCTCGCTCACCCAAACATGTAGTCAGCAGTATGAAATGTTGACAAAGATGTGAAATGTGTTGAATCCTTCAACAAATTAAACAAGTGCCAAATTTGATTACATGTTGTTCAGAAATAGCCAAATAGTGCCCAGGAATAGCTTTTTCAATATGGCTGAAATGGTAGCAATACTTATAATCAGGGTTGAAACCCCTTCATGTGAAGTTTCAACTCCACTGGTCAAGACATTTTTAAAGAGATAATGTTTACAGTAGCAGGAAATGCATATCGAGAAAATGTAAGTGCATGGGCAAAGTGCAAAGGACAAAGATCAAAATGTAAAATATCATGAAAAAATGGAACATTTGTCTTGACCCCATCTGCAAACTACAACTGTATCAATGTTCATTCATTTTGTATTAGAAATGACTGGATAACGACCATAAACAGTTTTTTTCAATATGGCTGCAGCGGTGGCCATTTTGAAAATCAGAATCAAACCTCTTTTATAAATTCAGGTATTTTCATTAGTTTAAACAAGCACATGACGTTTCAATGAAAGAATGACTTTTGAGGAGATTAGGCATTTTCACAGATGTCAGATAGTTATCAACAGCTAAAAACTAAAAAATGACAATAAATGGAACAATGTTCTTGAGAACCCTGACACGCTACACAAATAACAAATTCATTACATTTTGATCAAGGGAGTTGAGTAATAGCCATAAGGAAGCTTTCAGTGTGGTCAAAGTGCAACCATAGAAAATTTCCAATTAACATTGAAAAAAAACTGTATTCATCAATTAAAACTGCTAACAACACAACTAATTTTATGACATTTTGTTCCAAAAGGTCAAGTTGAGAAATATACCAACTTAGAGAGTTAAGTTAATAAATTCCCTTTACCATAATGCTAGTATTGTAGTTAAATAATAATAATTATAATTCCTTTATATAGAGCCTAGTATCAATCTGACTAGTTGCTCACTAGACGCTGTAATCAGAATCTGATTATTATTACCCTGGATAACCCAAGCTGCCTGTTAGGCGATAGAAGGTTATAGTCACATGACTTTATCCAACCAGGTACACATTTTCTGATGGGTGAACAGAGGCAATTTTGAACAAACTCACTTGCCTAAGGTGAGACCACATGTATCACATGTGCTTCGTTGTGGGGTAGGACTGAAGTCCTAGAAACTCTCAGGTGTCAAGCTGCCAAACATGGTCACCCATCCAAGGACTGTCCGAAATTGATGTTGCTTAACTTCAACTGATTCGTGACCTGCGCTCTACGCACAGGACCACACAGCTGTATCTATTGCTGTAAGCAACTTGATTCTAGACCCTACTTTACGCTGGGGTCTTTTTTTCACCATCTGTCTCAGTGGAAGGCATTTAATTGTATGAAAAATGCTGATGACAAGCAAAGACAACAGAAGTCAAGAGAATCTGAGAAATCTGGAAAAATGATCTGTCCTGGAATGTATTTTCAAACGTGTAACACTGAAATACACAAACACACATACGCTGTCCAACTGATGGATAGATAGGCACAACGACAGCAGATAACCTTTGCTTCAGTCCACTACCAACAGGACTTATCATCAGTAAACATTGTTGATCTCTATCACTATGGCAACCAGACACTCACCTAACCCATTCCAGACTCTTCAATGCCAGTTTCAACATGGCAATCCTGTGCTTGGCTGACTGGAGATCCTGAAGTCAGAAGTTACATGCCGATAAAAACTGACCAAATTGTAAAGAAGATTACACTTGTTTCACTAATCTCCAGTCTGTTTGGACATTGATATAAGCACAATGTGTGTTAGTTTGGTTGAAGGGGTCATTGTAGGCATGGGTACTACAGATACAAACCCCAGGAATGTTTCTGAATACAGAAATGAACCCTTGCTAAATTCTGAATACAGAAATGTACCCTAGTACTGGTCCATTCTACATTGTGCCGTTTATTTGACCAGAACTGCCATACTGCTGTATTAGATGCATTTGACTGTGTTATATAAGAAACGAGCATACACAGTACCAAATATTTTGCGGTACACAATACCACTCGCAATCAGTTCACCGGGAATAACTACATATAGTTTCGGTTTTGGGTTGAGGAATATAGACTCGTCCACCGTTTAGGGTACCGGGTACGTTTCTGTAGTTTGATTTTGTTTAGGGTACATATTCTGTATACAGAAATGTACTTGGTGTACACATCTGTAGTACCTGCATTAGTAGGACATGGTCTTTGTGTTAATAGGACATCATGTCACAATGGTCACAGGTATGCACTAGGTATGCCACGATACATCAATACTTTTTCTAAGATGATACAAGTATTGATACATTCAAAAGTATCGGTTTAAACATGTTTATTTATCATTTACATTTTGCAATTGTAGCATTTTTTTGATATCATGAGAGTTATAAATGATTATTTTTCATGCACAAAGATGGGAAATTAGAACTTTTTAATCTCTGAGAATAAAAATGTTGATCTTTTCATTGACAATAATAAAATATGAAATATTAATGTTCAAAATGTAACTAAATTTACGCAATAATGCCGCGAAAAAACATATCGTGATACGTATCGAATCGTGACATTGGTATCGTGATATGTATCCATTCATTAAACTTAGGTATCGTGACATCCCTAGTATGCACAATGACCTATATGTACCTAAACTTACATGACAAAATAGGATTTTTAAAATACTCATTCTTTGAATGACCACATATTGTTAATACTGTTCTTGCTCAAATTCATAACAAAATTTCAAGTTTAAATGAAGTATTTTTTATCTTCAGAGAGCAAACTTGAATGTTCAGGACAAAAGAGATGTTCAAACAAAAAGTTTAAGAACTTAACATTAACAGACTGACGATCAAATAACTAATTCTGAACACATGGTAATAGTATTTGAGATGCAGAAAACATTAAAATCTGTTATTTAAGTCTTTTCCAAAATGTAATACTAACTACAGAAGAAAATTCCGATGAAACATTTTGGCAAAAAACTTCCAACATAAAAATGTAAAAGTGACATAACCATACTCAACTCACCTTCTTCCCATAGTTATCACTGACAGGAGATATGATTCCCTCCACCACTGTGTATTGTCCTGTCCTCTGTAGGCTGTCTCGAGCTATCTCTGGAATCAGGACAATCAAACAGTTTACCATCAATTACCACTGAATGTTTGTCAATGACAACACTAAATGAATAACATTTTTAAAAATAGTAAAGCTGACAATAACAGAAAATATAAAATTTACATTGAAATGACAGGATCCACACATTTAATAAGCCTTTTAATTAATTAATAAACATTTTACTTACCAAAATAATAATATTAAAATGTTTTTATGTAAATGAACTGAAGTCATTTCATAAATGATTGTTTGCAATAGTTGTCAAGGCTTGGAAATACCTACTTATACCGTTATGTCAGACAATACGTAACTAATTAACATGTACTTTGCAATCTAAGGTCTATAAATAATCATAAACATGATACACAGCGAAATGTAACGGTGTTTTTCATCCAGGATGATTTGTTTCCGAGAAAAACAAATAATTACCGAACATCCTGAGATGCATGTTAGTCACGGGATTGAAAGATCCACACGCTAACAACACCACCTTCGCCGTTGAGGCCATTCTGATACTGGTCGGTCGTGGAAACATTTCCCGTTTTAGTAGACATTGAGCGAAGTATCGTAATACGTCACGTGACCCCACCGGTTGTTGATATATATTAGCAGTATTCTCGTCAGTCTCGGATTGAAATAACCTGCAGTCGTGCTTATTGAGATTTTAACTCACGTGTGATGTATTGCGCGTAGTTAAAATGTTTTGTTTGAATATTTAGTGTAAGTAAGGTTTGAAATCTCGTTTTCAGCGAGAGTAATGGCTGCGCCCATGAACATGTGCGAGTTTGGTTAATGTCGACAGTGATTCCATACTGCTGGCTGCCTACCAAGACGTCTTAATAACACATTTGGTAATTTGAATCTGGAGAATCGGTTGTTGTGTGTTTTGTCCGATGTGTTCGTGTTCAAAACAGACAGTGGAGAATGTGTGAAAGATTGTTTCTTTTTCTTAAAAACGTGGACTTATGTGTGTTAATATTTTGTGGTGTTATAGGGGTACGATTCGCACCAGCTACAAAATGCCTCAGCAAATTTGGGCCAATTTATTTAAAATGATTAAATATATGCCATAAGGGAAAGAGTTTCTTCCGTTCCCCAACTCTAAACCAAACTGTAAACCTAGCCCTAACTTAAATTTTGGACTTTTAATCATTTTGTGAGTTCTCTATGAAAGTTATTTTTAATATTTCTGATAAATGTTCCATTAATACTGAACTCATTAGAGCAAAAGGAATATTCTTGTATAGACAACACTGTAATACCAATTACTGTGCATGTTATCAATACCTTTGCAAAAATTGCAAGTACAAGAATGAAATAAAATGTTTGTATAATCACACTCATACACAAGTATGGTATAACACTTAGCAAAACCAGTGTTTGCCATGACGCAGAAAACCTGTGTATTTGACGCACTAATTATCTCAAATACAGTGAATTTAGAAGCTTGCGTCATTGTTGACACAATGCTACTGGGCCCTTATTTCAGGTAATCTAAACTTTGGTTTCTGTACGATGACTGGCTTTTTGTCTGCTCATTGCTGATTAAATACCTGACCTGCCTTCAAGTGCCTGACCTTGTTTTTAGTGATGAAAGTTCCAAACTGGAGTTGACTCCCAAAAACATGTCCATGACTCGCTCTCATGACACCAGGGAGTTGTGATGACTCCTTAATTTTTATGCCTGGGGCGAACACTGCAAAACAATCTAGAGCTTTTGTTAATCTTGTCAAAATGGCTAATGTGAGGATAAGAACTGGCTATGAAAACATGTTCACTGATTGACATTCAATGCTATGGCATGTTGAGGACATGTCACATGTCAACTAGAGCAGTGTGAATGTATGAGCATTTCAACTCCTTGTAAAACTGATTTTGGACCAAGGGTAAGTCAGTCAGGCACCCCATCAACCCCTCCTACCCTGCCTCATAGCCACAAGTCTTTTGGGTTTTTTTAAAAAAGAATTATTAGCATAGGGACAGATGTTACATATCATAGCCACAAGTTGACTCAAGAAAAATATTCAACTCAGACACAAACATAGCGACACGACATAGGCTACAGGCTGAAGCCGACGTTAAACTTTAAATGATGATGATGAAGGTAATCATTCACTTCTTCCAACTGATGACCATTTGATGACCATCAACTGAACGAAATTTTCATTGTTAGTAAATGAAGGCCAAGAGGCAACCTCAAGTGATAAAGTGTGAAGACTGCAGGACACACAGACTGTGTAGAACTAGAGTGTCCCGAGAAGAAGTATGAGGAAGTGGCCAGCACTGTTTCCCCTACACCCTTTACATGCAGCATCTGCAAAGAGAAACCCAGAGAACGCAGTCACATTGACTACTCTGATGGATCATTTCGTGGACGTGGGGAAAGCATGAGGACAGATAACTGGGACGGTTACATTTATATATGAAGAATATAATATCAAAGTTGACAAAAACTACATTTATAGCATATATTTAATCATTTTAAATAAATTGGGGTATTCTGAGTACCCCTGGGGCAATTTGACCAAATTTGCTGGAGCATTTTATAGCTGGGGCAATTCGACTAGTACCCATAGGCATTTTAATTGATATTGTGTCAAGAGTGCAGCTAACTGCAGTTAACTGGCTCATGCTAACGACTGTGTTTCTTGCTCAATTGAAAGATTTTATCTCTCTTTGACCCTCAGGTATTAGTTGTGATCCCCTTTCCGATCAAACACTGTGTACGATTATTATAGTGATTATGGTCAGCTACCTTTCTTGGATATTTACGGTCCTTTGAGTTGGGCACTGGACTAAACACAATCAGGCCCCGATTTCTCGAAACAAACTTAAGTCTGAGTGTCTGAGTTTTTACTCAAATAGAGAAAATGCATTTAGCAGAATGAACTGAAACTGATATTAAACTCAAACATACTAGACAATTTGAGTTTGGTGGATGGATTACTTAAAGAACCACTAAACTTTGTTTTTTGTTACTCTTTTAACCATTACATATGAAAGATTTGTTGTTAGTCTTATGCGGAACACCAAATTTATTCTTTAAAAACTTGTGGTTAATTAATACCGAGCGATTAAAAGTGGCCAAAAAGTCGCCTGCTTCCCTCTCGCCCGCCAACGAAACCACAGACAGGTTACGTAACTCTGTCGCCAGAGCACTGCAGTGACGTCATATGAGGAACGATTTTCAGTTAGTTGTATAGAAAGTGTGTAGCACGCTCATCATTTGATGATTTCAGCGACATGAACGGCGACATGCCCGAATCGTTGCTTTGTCGTCAATTGCTCCTTGGGGTCGGGTGATGGTGTCACCATGCACAGATTTCCACGGACCCCCGCAGTTCGTGCTAAATGGGTTATGTTTTGTGAGTCGCGGCGGCGTTGTGGAAGCCTAAAGCGATATCTTACTTGTGTTCAGATCGCTTCACGGAAGTTAAAGAATCAAAACTACTTACTAGTTATAGTAAAATATGTATATGATTGATGACCATAAAGATTTTCCATGACACAACTTGTAACATAACGATTTCTTCCTCGGAAGTGAGGTTGTGGTCGAAGTAACAATAATATTGTAAGTAGTATTATATTGACACCCACCTCGCTGCCAGGAGAGAAATTGTTATGTTATCGCTATGTCATGCAAAATCCTATTGGCCACCAATAAAATACATATTTTACTACCAGTAGAAAGTAGTTTTGATTTTGTAACTTCGGTGAAAACAAACCTAAATAGCATTTATCCACAGACTGGCGGATGTTCCCGACAGAGGCCGCCATTTTGAAAATCGAAAAGTCTGTTAGAATTAATGAGATTATAGTTTGTTTTCATCAAGTAAAAAATCAAAACTACTTTCTACTCAGTAGTTAAATATGTATTGGAATAATAACCAAAAGGATTTTGCATGACACAACTTATAACATAACGATTTCTTCCACGAGGCGAGGTGGGGGTCGAAGTCACAATACTGCGAGATAAATTTCTTGCTACATTCACATGGTTAATGTCCACTCACCAGTATGTAGATACTAGTCAGTCAATGCGTCTTTATATTTGGTCTTATAATCCTAATTAGTTTATTATCATACTTTTATGCATTTTGAAACTAAATAAAAGCTGACGATCTGCTGATACTTATAGTGAATTTATAACAGAACTGTAATATCTAGACATTTTATAGTTTGCCAATGTGAATCATAATTCGCACACACACCCTAGTGTATATTGTCTGTCTCATTACACTTCACGGCGAAAACAATGATTCTGTTGAATGCTACGACAAATGAATAAAAACAAAATGCAAATATTAAAATTAAAACAGATTAAAGTTATAGGAACAATATCAGGCCATTACCTTGTTTGAGGAATGTATCCATCAATATCCACAAAACTGTTCCAAATGATGTGTCTTTTAACAGTTTAATATACGAAAAAGTGATAAATCTTTTCAGGTATTGGTGTATAGTCTCATTGGTCACCCAAGATAGCACACCTGGCAACTAATTGCATAATGTCCGCCTTTCATTAAAAACAGTAATTTAGTTAGCCAATAATGGGCAATCAATCAATGTATTGCCGGTTAATCCTTTGAAAGAAGGACGTTGTTTTTACGCGAGACACCGACACGGCAGAGTGTATTCAGTATAGATTAGTAAATCTACATACATAAACACTACCTTTGACAATTCGCTGTGTAAGATAAAAGTAATTAATCAATCAGCGTGTTATCGGTTAATCCTTTGATCGATGTTTATAATGTTGAATATTTACTCCAGACACAAGAAATGCCAAATGGGAACCTTTGTCGGTAATCTAAGTGTGTTACCACTAATTATACCTGTTATAAATTCATTAGCTGACCATCAAGTGAATGATGACAAATAACATGTGTAGGTTTATACCACCTAACACGGGTTACAACAAGGGAGTATTAATTGCTGTATTGCATGTGAAAACTTATGGGCCGACACTGTTTTGAGAATACAAACAGATTTTTTACATGACATGATTAAATATCGAGGTAAAAACACAGAAATGGGATCAATTTGGATCAGTCATTATACAAATAGGGCCTAACGACACCAATCAATTGTGACAGAAGCGTCTATGAAAACAAGTTGTAACTCGGAAACTAGGCAAAGCAGGAGACAAAATTAAATGACAGTAGATTGTGAGAACATATAGCTTTCATTTTCCACAACAATTGTCACGATTTCAGGTTTATACAAGCCTGTAAACAAGATAATTTACCCCTAAAATGTAGATGAATTCTGCATCGGCCCTCAAAGCTATTCCTCATATGACGTCACAGAGTCGCGCCGCTCTGATTGGTTGAAATTTCGTTCGCGGGTGAGAATTGTGCACTGTTGTCAAAAAGGTCGATTTAAGTCAATTAAAGGTCGAAATGAGTAGTTTTAATGACGGGGTTTCACTCATAACGATGCCAGTTAGTGATTTATGTATTTTTAACCCCTAGGGTTTATGTGACCTTTAAGTTGTTTGGGCTTTTTTATTTTAAAAATGCAGTTGAGTTAAAAATTCAGCAGTTTCAAATTGTCAAACTCAGTTTGAAATTTGAGTAAAAACTTAAGTTTGTTTCGAGAAATCGGGGCCAGATGTTTTACAATCGTTAGTGTTAGGTTCTCCTGTATGAATCTAAGGGCTAGTTGTGAGAAGGGTGTCTACTTAGTGCCGTATCTCATTTGGTAATAAGTAAACCCAAAGCAGTTTGAGGAAACACTGTTTTTGTCAAGCTTCAAGTTTCACTGTTAATGTCGCTACTGTCCATGTGCTGAAAGGTAAACAATCTGGTTTAGGTACCTTGATGAATTGTTTGTGAAAGCATCCAAGGTCCCGTGAACCTCAGCTTCAAGTGAGTTCAGTTCTTCATGGACTGCAAACTGAATTCTAAAAGCCTGCGCCCAGCAAAGTGCATCAGTCCATTTGTTTCATATTCATATTGCAGCATGATATGTAGTATGATGTTGTAGTATCATGTCTTGTAGCTTCATTTCAAAGAGTGTTTTTATGTTGTTTCATCATGTGGTACATGTACTTAATGGGGTGGTGGGGTAACCTAGTGTTTAAAGTGTTCGCTCTTCATGCTGAAGACCCGGGTTCAACTCCCCACATGGGTACAATGTGTGAAGCCCATTCCTGGTGTCCCCTGCCGTGATATTGCTGGAATATTGCCAAAAGCAGTGTATAACCCAACTCACTCACTCACTGATGTACTTAATTTTCTGATTACAGTTACTTCAGTTTACTTTTTCAAAATGGCAAAGAAAAAGAGAGTCATAGCTGATAAAGTGAGAAATAGAAAGACAGATGGACAAAAGAAGACAAACCCATTTGAAGTGAAAGTCAATCGACAAAAACACCAAGTACTGGGAAGAAAGATTGCTAAACATGACCGAGGTTTACCAGGTGTATCACGGTCGAAGGCTAACAAACGGGTAGGTAACCAGGTTTACAAGGTGTATCCCGGTCGAAGGGTAACAAACAGGTAGGTAACCAGGTTTACCAGGTGTATCCCGGTCGAAGGTGTAAAGGCTAACAAACGGGTAGGTAACCAGGTTTACAAGGTGTATCCCGGTCGAAGGCTAACAAACGGGTAGGTAATGATGTTTACCTGGTGTATCCCGGTCGAATGGCTAACAAACTGGTAGGTAATGAGGTTTACCTGGTGTATTCCGGTCAAAGGTTAACAAACTGGTAGGTAATGAGGTTTGCCAGGTTAATCCCGGTTGAACTATCGTGTGGTCAGGTTTGCTGTCTTGGTTGACACATGTTTATTGTATCCCAAATTTGTAGATCGATGCTCATGCTGTTGATCACTGGATGTCTGGTCCAGCCTTGATTATTTACAGCCTTGATTATTTATAGCTGGAATATTGCTGATTGTGCGGCATTAACCAACCAACCAACCAACCAAATATTTCGCAAAATGTATTGCAATTTTTCATCATACAGCTTATTTGCTGTTACACAGTCCTACAAGTGCACACTTGTGCACACAGTCCTACAAGTGCACACTTGTGCATGTATATTGTTACATGAATGCAAAATCAAGACTTTGAAAAGTCACAGTCCATTGAAGGAAGGACTATTTTCTCTGAACACCTGGTGTTGGTACTTTTTTCAGCGTAAGGAGACACTGCTACAAGAATATGAACAAAGATTCAAGGCGAACAAGTTGGTGGATCGACGTTTTGGGGAGAACGATACCAGCCTCAGTGTGGAGGACAAAATGTTGAAGAGATATGCCATGGAGAGGGAGGTAGGGGGCATGAATGATGCTGAAGAATCTACCTTTTATCATGGGTATCTTCCATTTTTTATCAAAATCTTATGTCCAGTTGGCACCCATTTGAAATAACACCTTTTCCCTCTCTGAAAATAGGGGGCGATAGCGTAGCCAAGTAGTTAAAGCGTTCGCTCGTCATACCGAAGACCAGGGTTCAATTCCCAAAACGGGTACATGTGTGAGCCCATTTCTGGTGCTTGCCATGATATTGCTGGAATATTGCTAAAAGTGGCGTAAAACTAAACTCACTCACTCACTCACTGACACAAATTAATTAATTTAATTTTTATACATTAGTTTGTGATACAAATCGTTATCCACATGATCATCCACCTGATCTGGTGGGTTTGTACATGCAAACTAGACTTTGGTCATTTCAACACTGGCTATCAGCACTCCATGTACACACATGTATAGGCTAATGGAGGTAATGCTAAATTGTTTCTAAAAGGATTTTATAGATGTTCAGTATGCATGTTTCTAATATCATATATTTGAAACAAGCAAAACATTTTACCCAAGCAGAATGTAAGAGGACCAATAAGCATAAGAAGAAACAGGAGTCTCCCATGGTTTGTTGTTATGGACTGAAATGTTGCTCTATTTTCAGAAACACACAGGTGGGAGTAAATTTAACCTGAATGATGATGAAGAACTGACCCACTACGGACAGTCATTGTCCGAGATTGAGAAGTTTGATGATCCAGAAATCAGTGATGAAGATGAGGATTCTGGGAAGATTGGAGGTACTGCCATCTTGACACAGATTATTAGCACTTTTATTTGTATGTCATTTATATGCATGGGTGGATCTGGGGTGGGGTAGGGTGGTGGGTGGGGGTTGGTGTTCCCCCCCTTTTGAAAATGACTTAAGACCACATTGAAGATTTTTTTGTTGCGTTGGCGGAGCCAAGGGGGGCTTTCAAAATTCCTGGATCCGCCCATGTATATGTTCTGTTTTTAAATCATATGATGAGCATGTTTTGTTTTCAGATAAGCTGGGTGATTTTCATTGCATTTGGCCTGCCTTCTACATGTTTTGTGCCTAGTTACATTACTATTATAAAAATCTGTGGGCATTAGCATGTTTTACGCTATGATGCATTGCAAGTCAGCCCCCAGAAGTAGCTGTCTGTACTGTCAGGGATGAAAACTTGCAGATAGAAACTGTAATCATGACCCAAGACTGTCTGATATAGACACACTTGTGTTTGATTTCAAACAAGCCCAAACAAAGTTTGATATTTTAAAGCCTTATACTGTGTCACATATTGCATTTCTTCTGACTGCTCTCAAAGTTAGTGGAAATGAAAATTTAGACCGTGTATCTTTCGTGTTTCCAGCATCAAAACATCTCACCCAAATACAATCCATTCATACTGGACCCTTTCACAAGCTTGCAGCATGCTCTGAGCAATCCCTGTGCTTCAACCAATTCAGTCATTCTCCTTTTCCTAAATTTGTAAGAAAATTGTATTTTTGAAACCATTTGGGGACTGAAATGTAACCACGGTAAAACCGTGCCAGTTTACACTTGTCAGAGGGCTGTAAGTTGTCAGATTTCTATTTTGTGGAAGCTAAGGTGGATGAGTGGGTTAGATCGCTGACTTTGTGGTCCTTCCGAGAGAGTGGGTCCAAGATGGGACTCAACACCAAAAGTATTAGAAACTGTGTTTTGCTGAAAAAGTGTAATCCCAAGTATGACTCATGTTGCATGGTAACATATACAATCATTTATGCAATATGTTGTTGTTTTGTCAATGGAAGCTTTAATATTGTCAGGTAGATCCACACAGCTCAGGTTTTATTACAAGTCAGCCCCTGGTCTCCCTAGGGCTCCTTTTCAATATAAATGGGCTTGTTTGTTACTTTCAAAATTATATATATTCAGACACTAAACCTTAGTCTATGGGAGATCTACACAGTTCAAGTCTTATTGCTAGTCAGCCCCCAGAAGTAGCTGTCTGTACTCTCAGGGATGAAAACTTGCAGATAGAAACTGAAATCATGACCCTAGACTGTCTGATATAGTCACACTTGTGTTTGATTGCAAACATGCTTATCATGTCATGCCAGGGTAGTGTTTGAAGTTATGTATCTAATTAAGGTCTTTGATCTGTTTTGGGAACAAGTTCAGTTTTATCCTCAAAGGAAGTTTACAGTAGCCCAACTAATGCACTATAGTAGCCTAACTAAAGTTTTTCCCTAAAAGTGTAACCATGGTAACATGGGAGCCCTATGCCTTCAACCAATCCGGTCATTAACTTCTTTGGGTATAATTGGCGAGAATATATATTTGGGTAACCATTATGAGGACTAAAGTGTTACCATGGTAACATGGGAGCCATGCCAGTTTACACTTGTCAGAGGGGTATACAAAGTGTGTGATCTAGGCTACTAATTGCCAGACGTCCTTTATTGTGGAAGCCATGGAATCTGAGTGGCGTAGATCACAGACTTTGTGTGCTGACGATAAGTGTGGGTTCAAATCCCAGATGGGACTCAACCCCAAAAGTACTTTGCGAGAAAGTGTAATCCACATTGAATCATTTATGCTTTAATATTGTCAGGCAAAAACATCATGCTTCTATAGTGGGAGATCTACACAGCCCAGTTCATACTGCAAGTCAGCCCCCAGAAGTAGCTGTCTGTACTGTCAGGGATGAAAACTTGCAGATAGAAACTGAAATCATGACCCAAGACTGTCTGATATAGACACACTTGTGTTTGATTTCAAACAAGTTTCAACCATTTCTAAGCTAATTTACACAGATTTTAAATGTTGATTAATGAATAAAACAAATGGTTGCTGTCAAAGGTTCAGTTGCAATTTAGAATCAGATTTGGGACATGGTATATTTGTTCTTTTAAAGAAATACATGAAGGAAGAAATGAGCAGGAATAATGTTCTTGTTATTACTTGAAGTGACTCTATTAACATGATGAAGATGTTATTCATGTTTAATTTGCTCTCTGATTGAGGCCAAACAAAGTGACTCAATCATTCAGTTACAGCCAATGACCTTTTCATGCTGCAGATAGGTTTCTATGGCAACTATCTCCCTCTGTCAAAAATACTCCTCCAAGAAATTACCTGTAAATGTAGTAAATGATTTCCTGATTTTATCACTCAGAGGTAATTTTCTTGGAGGCAACTTTTCTATGTGAGCAGTTACTGTGGTTACCATGGTTACTTGTGCAAGGCGAGTTTACATCTCAAATTCATATTGATGACCACCAGATGGCAGCAATTGTTATCAGTGGGATGTGATGACGTAAAGTTTGTCATCATGATGTTGTTATACAAACAGTCATACTTTTGTGGCCACCATGATCATTAACGTGGTGAAACGTTACATCGTTTATATAATATGTTGTTGTTTTGTCGTGATAGAAAGAATCTTGGATTATACAATCAGGCAGATACATCATGCTTCTATACTGGGAGATCTACACAGCTCAGATCTTATTGCAAGTCAGCCCCCAGAAGTAGCTGTCTGTACTATCAGGGATTAAAACTTGCAGACAGAAACTGAAATCATGACCCAAGACTGTCTGATATAGTCACACTTGTGTTTGATTTCAAACAAATTTAAACCATTTAAAAGCTAATTAACACAGTGTTTTAATGTTATTTAATGGAGAAACCAAATGGTTGTTGTCAAAGCTTCTATTACAATTTAGCAGCAGATTTGAGACTTGATAATGTCAAGCAGATACATCATGGTGTTTTAGTGGGAGATCTACACAGTTCAAGTCTTATTGCAAGTCAGCCCCCAGAAGTAGCTGTCTGTACTGTCAGGGATGAAAACTTGCAGATAGAAACTGTAATCATGACCCAAGACTGTCTGATATAGACACACTTGTGTTTGATTTCAAACAAGTTATGTATCAAATTAAGCTTGAAATTCAAGAGGTCCTTGATATGTTTTTTAACTAAAGTACTGTCGGAAATAGAAAAAAACTTTTTTTTCACATTTATATATACAAGTTAGGTAGTTAATATGTGAAAGTGTGAAATATCTGTTGAACTAAGTTCGGCCTAACTACAGTCTCAGTGGTAGGGAGATAGGAAACGTTAAAAAAGGATTTTACTGAGGAGATATTAGTGTAAAAATGAGCAATGCGGGCTTTTTCAAAGTCTGAAGAGACTTATTTGAAGCAGACCATGGCTTTATGCAAATTATTGTGCGATGATATTGTATAACAAATGACACTTTTGAATGTCCATTTTGAAATTAGACTTAGCTTCATAATAAACGATAGCAGACGTAAAAAATATCAACTTTAATACTGAACCTTTTAAGGATATAGATACCATTGAGTCTCACTATCCCTATAAAAGAAACAGGCAGGAGGGGTCGTCTCAAAAGCAAAACCAAGATGGGTGTTGCTGATGGTAGTTGGGGTCGGGCTTGGGGATAGAGATATAAGCTAAGATTAGATAATCAGTTGAGGCATATTCAATACACATGAAAAAGCATAAAAGATATTTGAGATGACCCCTTGTGTCTGTGGGCAGCACGTGCATTTCATGCCAAGTGAGTTGACTGTCCGTCGTCATACCTGGCTGAGCGACCTAATTCCATCTATAGTCTGATCTATTGTTTTCAGCAGCTGTTCGAATTTTTTAAAAGTTTTTCCCGATTTTACGAGTAAACATGCTTTTCTGGATATCCTATTACGCATCCCATTGAACGCCCAGGTAGGCCGATGTAGGCTATTTCGACATATGCTATTTGCAATTGTGTAAATTTTAAGGATACAGAGTAACAGCCTAAAAACAGTATTTTTCTATTTCCGACAGTACTTTAGTACAGTTCAATCCTCAAGACCGCCTCCGTGGTGTAGTGGTTAGAGCGTCCGCCCGGAGAGCGGAAGGTCGCTGGTTTGATCCCCGGCCGCGTCATACCAAAAACGTTAAAATATGGTACTTGTTGGTCGGCATTAATGGGTACATCAAGGACTGGTCGGCTCGGAGTCAGTACAATGTGTCTGAGTGGGGTATTCATGCTTCACTGCGGCATGGTATCTCAGTGGGCTAGCACTATAAAACCAGCTTCAGTCTGGGCTAGTACAAGCACTCGCTTTTACACATACACACGCATCATGCACGTCGCATATGGCTTAAATATTCTCGCAGTCACCTACACCTTCAATCAAAGGAAGTTTATGGTAGTCCAGCATATCCAGTCATGAACAGTTTATCTGATGCATTTTATCTGATGGATGAGAACATGATGTACATGTTAGGTAAACCATCATTTAGGGCCAATCACTACACACAGGTATTTTTATCATGACACTTTGTATTGTGATGGACCAATGAATCGTTACACTTGTTAGGTAAACCATCATTTAGGGCCAATCACTACACAGGTATTTTTATCATGACACTTTGTATTGTGATGGACCAATGAATCGTTAGGTAAACTTGTTAGGTAAACCATCATTTAGGGCCAATCACTACACAGGTATTTTTATCATGACACTTTGTATTGTGATGGACCAATGAATCGTTACACTTGTTAGGTAAACCATCATTTAGGGCCAATCACTACACAGGTATTTTTATCATGACACTTTGTATTGTGATGGACCAATGAATCGTTATACTTGTTAGGTAAACCATCATTTAGGGCCAATCACTACACAGGTATTTTTATCATGACACTTTGTATTGTGATGGACCAATGAATCGTTACACTTGTTAGGTAAACCATCATTTAGGGCCAATCACTACACAGGTATTTTTATCATGACACTTTGTATTGTGATGGACCAATGAATCGTTACACTTGTTAGGTAAACCATCATTTAGGGCCAATCACTACACAGGTATTTTTATCATGACACTTTGTATTGTGATGGACCAATGAATCGTTACACTTGTTAGGTAAACCATCATTTAGGGCCAATCACTACACAGGTATTTTTATCATGACACTTTGTATTGTGATGGACCAATGAATCGTTACACTTGTTAGGTAAACCATCATTTAGGGCCAATCACTACACAGGTATTTTTATCATGACACTTTGTATTGTGATGGACCAATGAATCGTTACACTTGTTAGGTAAACCTTCATTTAGGGCCAATCACTACACAGGTATATTTTATCATGACACTTTGTATTGTGATGGACCAATGAATCGTTACACTTGTTAGGTAAACCATCATTTAGGGCCAATCACTACACAGGTATTTTTATCATGACACTTTGTATTGTGATGGACCAATGAATCGTTACACTTGTTAGGTAAACCATCATTTAGGGCCAATCACTACACAGGTATTTTTATCATGACACTTTGTATTGTGATGGACCAATGAATCGTTACACTTGTTAGGTAAACCATCATTTAGGGCCAATCACTACACAGGTATTTTTATCATGACACTTTGTATTGTGATGGACCAATGAATCGTTACACTTGTTAGGTAAACCATCATTTAGGGCCAATCACTACACAGGTATTTTATCACTACACAGGGTATTTTATCATGACACTTTGTATTGTGATGGACCAATGAATCGTTACACTTGTTAGGTAAACCATCATTTAGGGCCAATCACTACACAGGTATTTTTATCATGACACTTTGTATTGTGATGGACCAATGAATCGTTACACTTGTTAGGTAAACCATCATTTAGGGCCAATCACTACACAGGTATTTTTATCATGACACTTTGTATTGTGATGGACCAATGAATCGTTACACTTGTTAGGTAAACCATCATTTAGGGCCAATCACTACACAGGTATTTTTATCATGACACTTTGTATTGTGATGGACCAATGAATCGTTACACTTGTTAGGTAAAATCATTTATTTAGGGCCAATCACTACACAGGTATTTTTATCATGACACTTTGTATTGTGATGGACCAATGAATCGTTACACTTGTTAGGTAAACCATCATTTAGGGCCAATCACTACACAGGTATTTTTATCATGACACTTTGTATTGTGATGGACCAATGAATCGTTACACTTGTTAGGTAAACCATCATTTAGGGCCAATCACTACACAGGTATTTTTATCATGACACTTTGTATTGTGATGGACCAATGAATCGTTACACTTGTTAGGTAAACCATCATTTAGGGCCAATCACTACACAGGTATTTTTATCATGACACTTTGTATTGTGATGGACCAATGAATCGTTACACTTGTTAGGTAAACCATCATTTAGGGCCAATCACTACACAGGTATTTTTATCATGACACTTTGTATTGTGATGGACCAATGAATCGTTACACTTGTTAGGTAAACCATCATTTAGGGCCAATCACTACACAGGTATTTTTATCATGACACTTTGTATTGTGATGGACCAATGAATCGTTACACTTGTTAGGTAAACCTTCATTTAGGGCCAATCACTACACAGGTAGTATTTTTATCATGACACTTTGTATTCATGATGGACCTGAATGAATCGTTACACTTGTTAGGTAAAGCCATCATTGGAGGATTTGGGGGCCAATCACTACACAGGGCAGTATTTTTATCATGACACTTTGTATTGTGATGGACCAATGAATCAGGAACCAATAATCATTTACTAAATGTCAGGTATTGATACATATCATTTAGCGAAAATGTCTGAAAGAAATCAATCACTTCACATCATGTGACATATTTATGCATGAATGATTGAAATCATGACCCAAGACTGTCTGATATAGACACACTTGTGTTTGATTTTAAACATATAAGGAAGACAGCTTTCAAACTGTCTTAGTGCCCACAGAATTCTATGTGTATTACCCCCAGGGTATATGGACTGACGGTTCTTGTAGAAGATTTGATGTCCTGTGGAAGATGAAGAATGTGAAGATGATTACTTTGTATGTGTACCTGTGAAGATCTTGTTTTGGATTGGTTTTCAGTAACCCATGATTGTCATAAGAGGTGGATGGGGTGGTCAGACTCGCTGACCTGGTTGACACATGTCATTGTATCCTAGTTGTACAGATTGATCGGCATGATGTCAATCAGTTGATTGTCTGATCCAGACCTACTTATTTATAGACGACCGTCATATAGCTGCAAAGTTGCAAACAAAATGTTGTATGTGTGTGTAAAAATTCTATGAGATATTGTATAAGTGGCTGACACGATAACCTTGAAATGTCTTTCTGATAGATGAAACAGTTTATGCAAATAACGTTCTATGATATTTTTAGGATCATAAGCTTGTATGCTGTTTGTTGAGTTGTAATTTGTATTGTTGAAATTGCAGTTTGATCGGCAGTCTGAACGGGAGAAGACAGTTGAACTGACAGAGGAGTTGGATGAACAATGGAAGGACGTTGCTCAACTACTTCGAGGAATGACGACTGTAAGTACAAACAGTAGAATCATTCTCTGCAGACACACATGCTTGAGAGTTACCTTAACTCCTCAGTTTTATTCAGTCCAATAGGGAATACTACCTCTGCCAACTGAGGCAGGAATCCACACAGTTTCCTGCACAGGTTTAACACGTGACACATCTGACATTGCTCGTAAATGTAATTGGACTGTTTAGATTGTGTTTATTACAAATGTATACCTGATTTTCATCTTCAAGAATGCCCTTCATGTTATTTGAAATATCTAACATTACAAAAAATGCATGCAATAACCTGTCTAGATTATCCCCCAAGGTTTTATGTTGGTGGAAAACTGTATTTGGAATGAGTTGTCTCCCTTGAAGTACATCATAAGTATGGACTGATTACAACTTGTGCATTTAAAATGAATGCATGATGTTTCGTTTTTTTCAGGGCAAGACAGAAAAACAGCCTGCAAAAAATGATGATTATGACATTACTGTGAGAGAGCTCAAGTTTGAGATCAAAGGAAAAGTGAGTTGTTAGCATAGATACGGTGGCGGAAATGTTACTGTTCTGCCATCATAGTAATAGTCTGTTAACTATTGATTCAGTTGATTGTTGATAATCATCGTCTTTGTAACATTTCATATCAGTCACTGTTGATCAGATTAGTTCTCATTTTGTGACACAGTGTGACACAAACAGACACACAAATACTTTCTGACTGTTTATGAATCTGGGCAAAGACCACTTTAGACATTACAAGATATCCTTTGAAGACCACTTTAGACATTACAAGATATCCTTTGAAGACCACTTTAGACATTACAAGATATCCTTTGAAGACCACTTTAGACATTACAAGATATCCTTTGAAGACCACTTTAGACATTACAAGATATCCTTTGAAGACCACTTTAGACCACTTTAGACATTACAAGATATCCTTTCAAGACCACTTTAGACATTACAAGATATCCTTTCAAGACCACTTTAGACATTACAAGATATCCTTTCAAGACCACTTTAGACATTACAAGATATCCTTTCAAGACCACTTTAGACATTACAAGATATCCTTTTGAAGACCACTTTAGACATTACAAGAAGATATCCTTTGAAGACCACTTTAGACATTACATTACAAGATATCCTTTCAAGACCACTTTAGACATTACAAGATATCCTTTTGAAGACCACTTTAGACATTTTCAAGACCACACATTACAAGATATCCTTTCAAGACCACTTTAGACATTACAAGATATCCTTTGAAGACCACTTTAGACATTACAAGATATCCTTTGAAGACCACTTTAGACATTACAAGATATCCTTTGAAGACCACTTTAGACATTACAAGATATCCTTTGAAGACCACTTTAGACATTACAAGATATCCTTTGAAGACCACTTTAGACATTACAAGATATCCTTTGAGCCATGATAAGTGCATGTGTTGCAAGTCAGCCCCCAGAAGTAGCTGTCTGTACTGTCAGGGATGAAAACTTGCAGATAGAAACTGAAATCATGACCCAGGTCGTCTTTTATAGACACACTTGTGTTTGATTTCAAACATGTTTAGGTGTGATAACCAAGGTAGTGTTTGAAATTAAGAATATAATTGAGGATGCAAATCAAGAGTTCCTTGGTATGTTTTAATAACCAGTTAAGCTAAATCCTCAAAGGATGTTAACAGTATGGTCGGTTGGTCTGTTCATCCGCCCATTCGTCCACCCATCAGTCCAGACAATACTGAGGATTGGGTAGACACGACAGCTGTGGCCTCTGGACACTACTTGAAGGTGTGATTGACCACTAACTCTCTACTGTGAAATAGTATAGGTGCTTAGGCATTTGTTCACTGATTTCAGCATCTGATATATGAACCACCATGACATTGCTGTATTGTTGCCTGCTGCAGAATGACCATGAACCTGACATTTCTTTGAAACTTTTTTTCAAGGCAACAGACAGGTTAAAAACAGAGGAGGAACTAGCAAAAGAAGAAAAGGAAAGATTGGAAAATTTAGAGGTATGTGTCAGGGTTCGGTACCATCTTGTGTGTAATGGCTAAAGGAAGGGTGTTTTTCCTGAATCTCCCTGAAGGTGTAATAATAATAATAATAAAAATAATGTGTCCATTTATACAGTGCCAAACTCCACACTAGGTATGCTCATAGCGCTAACAATCAAGGCACAGCACATTATTACTCCGGGTAACCCAAGCTGCCTGTTAGGCGCTAGAAGGTTATAGTCATATGACTTTTTCCACCGGGTACCCCTTTTCCTGCTGGGTGAACAGAGACAATTTTGAAAAAACTCACTTGCCTAGGTGAGACCACATGTGTCACATGTTCTTAGTAATCATGCTTAAACATGATTATGTGAACTATTTGTTGATGTGTTCTATTTTATATATCATTCTGACATCACAGGACATTCCTTTTTCAAAGTGACAGACATTCATATACATAAAAATGTGTGTTTCTTTTGTTTACTTTTTTAACAGTGCAGTTCCCCTTCTTATGTAATTGTGCACTTTTTTAATTATTAGGAAGCATGAAAAATATGAATATACTTATAGATACATATGTAATACCTTGTAACACACAATAACAGTGAAATACATCATAACACTCACTCGCTCAGCTCCACTCCACTCCACTCCACTCCACTCCACTCCACTCCCTCCACTCCACTCCACTCACAAATCTATTTGAGTTATCTCAACCAGCCCAGTTGCAGACAAGCATTTCAAAATACTCCTCACAAGCATATATGGGAAATGCAGTCATGTGTGTGCACATGCACATGCACCACCACAGTTTTACCTCTTGTCAATATCCTACTCGGGCAGTGGGGATGTGTGTTTCAGTTCATACTGTATTCACTCTCGAGGACCTAACACACCCTTCTTCAAAACGTATTGCTCACTCTGACAACTGTTGTACTTCAGGCTGATCGTGTGAGAAGGATGAAGGGTGTCCTGCCGCACAGTGTCCGACCACAGTCACAGCATTTCTCGGCCGACAGTCTGGATGATGGGTAGGGTTATCTCCCTTGAACAAAGCTTTTGAATCAGTTTGCAAACTGATTTATAATTGAAAAACTGTTTGTCCTAAGTGCGTAATTAATGTATTTGTCTGCATTAGACACATGTAGATCTCAATGAAGGGTGTTTAACTGAAATAATAGTGTTAGGTAACGCAGAATGTTAGATTTTATCTCCTTAACTTGGATGCTGGCTCACTTGGTTTCTGTCCTTCTGTGCAGGTTTGTGCTGGATACAGATGACAGGAATCGGGGGAAAGTGCGCTTCCTGGAGGAGGAAGAGGAAGATTCTGAGGAGGATGAGGAAGAAGGTGATGAAGAAAAGGAAATGAATGAAAAGGAAGAAGGAGGTGGTGAAGAAGAGGATGGAGGTGGCGAGGAGAGTGGTGATGAGGAAAGTGATGCTGGTGATAATGACAATGATGATAATGATAATGATGGTGCAGATGAAGCTGACAAGGACAACAGTGATGAACATTCCGAAGGAGAGAGTGAGGACAGTTTTGGTGATGTTCTTTCAGATTCAGAGGAAGAGAAGGACAATGAGGAAAGTGTGACAAAGACAAAGTCTATTTTAAAAAAGAAACCAGAGACAAAGACAGAGAAAAAAGTATGTCGTACATGTGTTCTATACAGGTATATGTTGTGTTGCTTAGTCATGCATGCTGTCAACTGCAGGGTGTCCTTGACTCATTTAGACCCGAGAAGATCCGGGTTAGAATTGATCTTCAGTAACCCATGCTTGTCGTAAAAGGCGACTAAGGGGATCGGGTGGTCAGGCTCCCTGAATTGGTTGACTTGGCATCTACTTGGGTAGATGCTCATGCTGTTGATCACTGGAATATCTGGTCAATACTTGATTATTTTTCCTTATCCTGACTCATGCTCTTTTGCTTGTCTCCTTCCTCTTGCGAACATAGTGGAACACTTGTATCTCCCTAATTGAAGTTCCCTTCAATGTAAAATCACTAATTAGTACACCACGAGTTACCTCCCTTCCACAAGCGCGGGAACGAGGGTGCCACCTCTACCCATGTGCCTCACTCTCTCCTTCTTCGCCCAGTGAGCTGGACGTGAGAGCGCCTGTGTCTCCCGACACACTATATCCTTTGATTATATTTAGTTAGTTACCTCGTATAGACATCTATAGAGGTTTAGCTAGTATCTTCAACAATTATATATTGATATTTAGTCGTGTTTCTACTGTTTATTCACGGGGGCCGCCGTGTTGTTTCAGTGGATTAGGTTGATAAAAATTCTGTACTGTTGCACATTACGCTTTTTATTCTGCTGCTGATCCGCATTTAATATGCCCTAGCTGTACTGCGCCATGTTTCATGTTATTCACATTGCAGTTGCGGTACTAATTTATCCAATTCTGCCTTTAATAAATATTACTTTGCGTTTGAGACGCGCAGCAGATAGGTCGCGTATGCAGAGTCTAGCCATGACTGATACACCTGAACCCCTCGCCAGTCTACTGCTGTTGGTCCACCCTCCGCCGTCTGGTGTTCCGCTAGAGTGGTGGGAGGCGGGACGTAGTCCGCCGCCTCAAGCGTCCTGCTTCCCCAGACATCCCATCGTCGCAGCCGAAGACTAGAAGGTTTTCTACTGCATCTCAACGCGACCTCTGAGGGGGAATCAACGAAGTCTACTTGAACTTTCTCAGCCGAGATTGTTCCCGTCGCAGATTTGGGCCTGTATGATGATCAGCCGATCATCATACCTGATGTACATCAAAAGAATGACCGATGTCGACAACAGTGATGTCAGCGCAGATCAACATGCAGCCTGATGTACCAACGCTGATATTTTTCCTGAGGGTCCCGTCGCTACCAACACTCAACGCAGACTTCGCACCCCCAGGGCAGCGTCGACCTCTGAGGGGAAATCAACGAAGTCTACTAGGACTTTTCTTGGCGAGATTGTTCCAGCCGCTGAACTGGGCCTCTACGATGATCAGCCGATCATCATCCCCGACGTCACGCCACAAGAAGCGACCGGAGACAGCTACAGTGACATCAGCAGAGATCGCCATGCAGCCTGAGGTCTCTACACTGACGCCAGACGACTTCCTGAGGGGCCCGCCCGCTAACATCGCAGAGAGGGCACCGACTAATTCATCGCAGACCATCCCAGATGAACTGTTGCGGCAAATCATGATCATGATGGAGGGCCACTACAGACTGGAGAAGCAGCCAGCCCAAGGCCTGAGCCTTCGCGAAGGTTCCAACGCAGACGACACCCCAGAGGCACCCCCATCAGCGTAGCAGCCACGACGAAGCCACCTTCGCGAAGGAAGTCGCAGACCACCTCGACGAAGGACCCAGATGTACAGCCTTCTTGGCGAAGGCCTTCGCGAAGGCGGGATAGATCATCACCTTCCTTGGCTTCATCCTTAGATGCGGACTCAGACCATCAGACCTCACGGAAGCCTTCGCGAAGGTCAAATCGCCGTTCCCCAGGACCGGACGCAGAGGAAGCTTCGCGAAGGACACCTGACTACACAAGAGCTTCGCGAAGCTATCAACATTCTCCTCACAGGTCTCCGAGAAGGTCAACCCATAGACGCAGATCACCAACACGATCTCCGGGCTGTTCACCGCGCCGATCTCCTCGTACATCACCACGTCGATCGTCTCACAGGTCACCACACAAGTCTGCACACAAGTCTACAGTCAGGTCTCCCCGGGCGTCACCCGACATAGAGATAAAAATACACAGTCCACCATCAGAAGAGCATCAACCTCTCATCAGCGATGCTGGGATAGAAAATGATGGAGGCATCATTTTCTCAGACGCTGAGATACGATATTGGATGGTAAACAACCTAGATCTCTCTTCACCTTCCAAGAGTGGCAACTCGGCGCAGACATACCTGATAAAGGAAGACGCGAGGCAGGCGCCATCACCTTACCTCCGACGACTTCGATTGCTGCGGTGCCACAGTATGTGGACACAGCCTACCATAAAGCCATAACAGTTCAAACGCCAGAGGCGTATGTTCTTGGCCTTAATAGATCTAGAACGATCAATGAGATTCTTATCACCAGATTTCGTGACACTACTTCTGAAGATGATAGGATGATCTCCTCGGCTCTACTTATGCAGAACCAGCAAGAACCACACCCTGTATGAAGCTAACGCTCATATATTGATCGGATTCTAGACACTTCGCTAAGGAAGTCCCAGGCCACCTCCTTGAAGGAGCTAGAGCCTCACCAGTTACAAGGGACATCACGGAGGAGAAGCGGCCACCGACCCACATATTGCTGAGTCGCGGTGTAAAACAAATGCTCACTCACTCACTCCTGTTGAACACAGAGGTCGATCAGCGAAGCAACGCTCATATATTATATATATACTGATCGGGCTCTGACTCGATACCTTCGCCAAGGTCGCTGAGAAGGCTAAGGCTAAAGTGGCTCCAAGTCTACCTCACACAGAAAATCTAGAATGGATACTGCCGAGCTTCGCGAAGTCTCCGGCGTCCCACCGAGGAAATCTCCTCCAAGGTCTCCATATATTAGCCACTCGTCATATATACCTACCGTCAGTCCGTTCAAGACATCGCATAAGTTGTCTATCAACTGTATGCCATATGCCGTCTATAAGCCTTCCTGCTGAAGACAATTGCACAGGCTATTTACAACACAGAGCGCCGCTATATTAATTAGTCAACGACGTTCATAGATCTTCACAGAAATCAACCTTTCCATATAGATTGCTAGAATATGCAATCCCGGACTACGATATACGATTATCTACATGCGTGACCATTACGCAGATCTGCAGACAATTCAATATCGAAATTGAACAGCAGCCTTGTTACAGCCAGTATAACTCATAATCGCCAAAGTTTCTGAGAAGAAATATGTACAACAAGTTCAGCTTTAATTCTACAATTATGACGATACATTCATGTATACAGTCTACAAGCTGACAATTTGCAAGTTTATTGTACCTTTATATAAGGAAGTCGGAATTATATTCAAAACTGAAGTTACTTTCACGACAGCCAGGAAAATAACCTACCCAGCATTAATATTACAGAGCGAGGTATTTTCGCGCCGGAGGTTTCGCGTTTACACCTTTAACCCTCAAACACCGTGGTCACTCGGGTAACCGGAAGCTACGGTGAAGACCGACGATTATGCTAATATCAACGACGGCAAGATTTTATACAAGGTTTTTCCTGCTACACCGGTGACATCACAGCGGGTATTCTACAGAATCAAAATGCCTTGTTCTGATTGGACCGCGTTGGACAACCACCTACCGAGAGGTCGCATCTTAGTTCACAGTTCAAGACTTACGTTACAAGTGACAACTATATATCAGTGAACGAGCAAGCCTCCTTACAGTCCAGTTAATCTGAACCTTCATGATTGGGCTGCTTTCTTCAGGTTAGAGACCTCCCTGTCAAGTTAGGGACGAGGAGCACGGCAGTCAGGCAATTTTACATAAAGTTCAACGAGGACAGACACACCTGGTTGTGCACCTACATCGTCAAGGACTTCGCAGCGAATAACCTAGACGACGGGATATAAGTGGATCTAAATCCACAGCGTCTCAGACTACAGCTGAATTTCATAATCAAGTTACTAACACAACTAGATGGTTAGTAAACCTACTTAAACTTTCTGATTGGAGAATTAAAACGGAAGTTTCACCCTCCAACTTGGGGATCTGAATATAGTGCTCCAACACCTCACAAGTGAGGTTTATGAACACGCCTGGATGACATACTTGGACTTCATGATACGATGATTCTATCAACGATGGCCAGCAAGAGCACTGTAAATTTATCTCCACCGAACCAAACAGAAGGAATAATGCAACAGATTATTTCCTCTATCATCAACTTACGCAGAATGAAATCTCGTACTATATATCTCCGTTTGGATCAGAACTGTCATACTACGTGCATACAAGACGGATGGACCCAATCCGACCCTCCATGAGCTTTTAATACTCATGATATTAGAGCGCTAACTTCTACAATTGATCTACACAATGTTATTTGAAATAATGGAGGGTTTATTTTCTGGAGATCCGATATGGTGGTTGCCAACCATTATCTGAGAGATATCATCACCGAGGACGTCTCAGGTATCCACCAATTCGATCCCATGGTCCTCGCTACAACAGTTGACAGTTCCTCGGAGAAGATAAGTCAATCTTACAGATTTCTACTTATCTTATAACAGTACTAAATAGCTACATGCTATATATAATTTGCTTAAGTTCTTTTTATCATCACAGTACTATGATTATTACATCATACAATATATAAGTTAACAACTCTACAGAGTTGGTTATTATATATTTACCTTAACTTAATTATATCTTAAGCATAGTACTATACTCAGATTGTAAAAATATATAAGCTAACAAACTCTACAGAGTTTGGGCTATTATATAGGTAGCTTAAGCTTATTCATATCTTAAGCTCAGTACTATGTTTATATCATATAAGTATATTAGCTAACAAACTCTAAAGAGTTTTTGCTATTTGGCTTAAGTCTCATCATATCTTAAGCAATATGATTACATTATATGATGTATTAGCTAACAAACTCTACGGAGTTTTTGGCTATTATATATGTAACTTAAGCTTATTCATATCTTAAGCGCAGTACTATGTTTATATCATATAGGTATATTAGCTATCAAAACTCTAAAAGAGTTTTTTGCTATTATATATTTGGCTTAAGTTTCATCATATTCAAATCTTAAGCTCAATACTATGTTTATATCATATAAGTATATTAGCTAACAAACTCTATGGAGTTTTTGCTATTATATATGTAGGTTAAGGTTTCCTTCAAAGCTCAATACTATGTTTATATCATATAAGTATATTAGCTAACAAACTCTACGGAGTTTTTGCTATTATATATGTAGCTTAAGATTTCCTTCATAAACTCAATACTAGGTTTATATCATATAAGTATTTTAGCTAACAAACTCTAAAGGGTTTTTTGCTATTATACAATTAGCTTAAGTTTCATCATATCTTAAGCAGAATGGTTACATTATAAAATGTATTAGCTAACAAAACTCTCTACGGAGTTTTGCTATTATATATATAGCTTAAGTTTAATTACATCTTAAGCTCAGTACTATGGTTATAACATAAAAGTATATTAGTTAATAAACTCTAAGGAGTTTTTTTGCTATATACATTTAGCTTAAGTCTAATCTTATCTTAAGCTTAGTACTATGGTTACATTATTAATCTATAAGCTAATAAACTCTACAGAGTTTTGGCTATTATATATGTAGCTTAAGTTAATTATATCTTAAGCACAGTACTATACTCATATTGTAAAAATATATTAGCTAACAAACTCTACAGAGTTTTGCTATTATATATGTAGCTAAAGCTTATTCATATCTTAAGCTCAGCACTATGTCTATATCATATAAGTACATTAACTAACAAACACTAAAAGAGTTTTGCTATTATATAATTAGCTTAAGTTTAATCATATCTTAAGCTTAGTACTATGTTTATATTTTAAAAGTAATTTAGCTAACAAACTCTAAGGAGTTTATACTAGCATATTAACAAGCTTAAGTCTATTAGTCTTAAGCATTGTATTAATGTTATATATACTTTATCATAATAAGTACATTGTAATAACCTTTATATGGCAGCTGATAAGTTAGCAGCAGGAATTCATCAGTTCAGTGCCTTTATGAAGTTCCCATAGGGTTATTACAATCATCACAGTTCAAATCACTAATTATTAAAATCCAAAGTATTATATATTCCCACCTCCAACTCAAGTGGGATTCTACAAACAAAGAGCATGAGTCAGGATAAGGAAAATATGTAATTTTTTGAGTAAAATTGATATTTTATACTTATCCTGACTCATGAGGTCAGCCCTCCATCCTCCCCAAATAACACTTTGGATTTCCCTGTAAATTCAAATGTTGGGCTCAGTATATGAGGAGAGAGTGAGGCACATGGGTAGAGGTGGCGCCCTCGTTCCCGAGCTTGTGGAAGGGAGGTAACTCGTGGTGTACTAATTAGTGATTTTACATTGAAGGGAACTTCAATTAGGGAGATACAAGTGTTCCACTATGTTCGCAAGAGGAAGGAGACAAGCAAAAGAGCATGAGTCAGGATAAGTATAAAATATCAATTTTACTCAAAAAATTACATATTTGCAGACCGCCACCATATGGCTGGAATATTGCTGAGTGTGGCGTTAAACTAAACTCACCAGATATATATTTTCATGTCAACATTGGTAGTCTTCTGAGAGGATTGCTTGAGATTGATGAGTTAAGCATGGGATTGTCAAAGTCCTACAATGAAAGTCCTACAGAGGTTTGATAGTTGTATTTACTGATAGGCTGTTTGGTTGAATTTGATATGAACATTGTGTTAATTAATCTCCATGTTTTGTAGAAGAAAAAAGAAGTGCAAGAGGCAGCTGCCAAGGAGTTGCCCTACACATTTGAAGGTAACTATGTCGGCCTTCTTCACACGTGTAATGGATTAACTGTGAAACAATGCAGCCCAGTTCGTACTGCAAGTCAGCCCCCAGAAGTAGCTGTCTGTACTGTCAGGGATGAAAACTTGCAGATAGAAAGTGTAATCATGACCCAAGACTGTCTGATATAGACACACTTGTGTTTGATTGCAAACAAGCCCAAGCAAGTGGCTACACAGGCTCAATTTATCAACTTCTGTTCATATTGAGAATATTTTTATAAATTTGATATTTTAAAGCCTTATGACTGCTCTCAAAGTTGAGTGGAAATGAAAATTTAGACCGTGTATCTTTCGTGTTTCCAGCATCAAAACATCTCACCCAAATACAATCCATTCATACTGGACCTTTTCACAAGCTTGCAGCATGCTCTGAGCAATCCCTGTGCTTCAACCAATTCAGTCATTCTCCTTTTCCTAAATTTGTAAGAAAATTGTATTTTTGAAACCATTTGGGGACTGAAATGTAACCACGGTAACCATGCCAGTTTACACTTGTCAGAGGGGTGCACAAAGTATGTGATCTAGACTGTTAGTTATCAGATTTCTATTTTTGTGGACGCTAAGATGGATGAGTGGGTTAGATCGCTGACTTTGTGGTCCTTCCGAGAGAGCGGGTCCCAGATGGGACTCAAAACCAAAAGTATTAGAAACTGTGTTTTGCTGAAAAAGTGTAATCCCAAGTATGACATATGTTGCATGGTAACACATTGAATCAGTTATGCAATATGTTGTTGTTTTGTCAATGGAAGCTTTGATATTGTCAGGCAGATCCACACAGCTCAGGTCTTGTTGCAAGTCAGCCCCCAGAAGTAGCTGTCTGTACTGTCAGGGATGAAAACTTGCAGATAGAAACTGAAATCATGACCCAAGACTGTCTGATATAGACATGCTTGTGTTTGATCTCAAACAAATTTTACCATTTAAAAGCTAATTAACACAGTGTTTTAATGTTATTTAATGGAGAAACCAAATGGTTGTTGTCAAAGTTTCTATTGCAATTCAGCAGCAGATTTGAGACTTGATAATGTCAAGCAGATACATCATGGTGTTTAAGTGGGAGATCTACACAGTTCAGGTCTTATTGCAAGTCAGCCCCCAGAAGTAGCTGTCTGTACTGTCAGGGATGAAATCTTGCAGATAGAAATTAAAATCATGACCCAAGACTGTCTGATATAGACACACTTGTGTTTGATTTCAAACATGCTTATCATGTCATGCCAGGGTAGTGTTTGACTTTAAGCTTGTGTGTGCTGACGATAAGTGTGGGTTCAAATCCCAGATGGGACTCAACCCCAAAAGTACTTTGCTGAGAATGTGTAATCCACATTGTATCATTTATGCTTTAATATTGTCAGGCAGAAACATCATGCTTCTATAGTGGGAGATCTACACAGCCCAGTTCATATTGCAAGTCAGCCCCCAGAAGTAGCTGTCTGTACTGTCAGGGATGAAAACTTGCAGATAGAAACTGAAATCATGACCCAAGACTGTCTGATGTAGACACACTTGTGTTTGATTTTATACAAGCCCAAGCAAATGGCTACAATTATCAGTTAGCGGTACAATTATCAGTTAATGCTTACTAGTAAATTAACAGATCTCATCATGTTCAGAGCTCAAGGCCTGAGTTGATAATATACAGACCTCTATTATGTAGCCATAGTTTCATGGTATGATATAACCCTATTAAGTCATCATACAAAATTCACATCCCTAGCAAGGATGGATAAGAGAAACTTACTTGATAATTATTTTTTTTATATTCACATCAGAAATGATCACAAGTTTATTCCCTATAGGAATGCCATGTAAGAAACAAATGCTCCCAAACAAACTATGCTGGTCTTTAAAAGTCAACCAAATGAATCTGATAGTCAGGCCTGGTTAGTTTACTGATTGTATGTACCAGTAATTGTACCCTATTGGTGCGGAATATTGTCCACAATGTTGACCACTGAATTGCTTTGTCCAGAGTCAGAGTTTTTTCAGGTTACCGTAAATATGGAATATTGCCAAAAGTGATGATAAACAACAAATACAAAAACAAACAAACATACAAGCACACACACGCAAACATACAAGCATGCACACAAACAAGCAAACAACCATACAAGCATGCACACAAGCACAAACATGCATACAAATGCAAACAAGAATACAAGCATTCAAACAAGCATACAAGCGCAAACATGCAAGCATACAAACATGCATACAAGCACGAACATGCATACATACAAGCACAAACATGCATACATACAAGCGCAAACAAGCATACAAGCACAAACATACGGACAAGAAAGCAAACAAGCATACAAGCACAAACATACGAACAAGCAACCCAAATACCAAGACTGATAACCCTTTGTTCCTCTCACCCAGCCCCTGACAACTATGATGCTCTGCTGGACATGTTACACGGTCGGTCAGACACTGACCAGCTGACCATCATAGAGAGGATCAGGAAGTGCCACCATGCCAGTCTCGCAGACGGGAACAAAGCCAAGATGGAGGTAGGTCATCAGGGTTTCAAAAACAGAAATATAGTAATTTGTTTTTCCTGGATATTTTCCTGCACATTTGTCTTTTCCGGAGCTGAACTCTAAAACCGTTCACTATTTCTTCACCAAACTTGGCACATAGATAGATCTGGTGGTGTACTGGTGCCTTTTGGTAGTTTTGGAATTCTGAATAAAATATTTTTGGCATTTCCATGGCAACAAGTTTGACTTAGCCTGAAATTGGTGGTAGTGCTCTTTTCCGGAACTGAACTCTAAAACCGTTCAATGTTTCTTCACCAAACTTGGCACATAGATAGATCTGGTGGTGTACTGGTGCCTTTTGGTAGTTTTGGAATTCTAAATAAAATATTTTTGGCATTTCCATGGCAACAAGTTTGACATAGACTGAAATTGGTGATAGTGCTCCTTTCTGGAGCAGAACTTTAAAACCTTTCAATACTCTCCTTCCACTTTTCTATATACACACCTAAATATTTGACATAATCATAACTCGTAGACATAATCATGAAGAGTATTTTGCCATTGCGGGGGAAATTGATGACTTTGTCTTCTTGTTTATGTTACCTTGCCAATTTTAACTACAAATTTGTATATTGATAGAAATAAATAACAGTCTTCTAAATGGCATTCAAAGTGGTGTAAAATGTATGGTGTTGTTTCAGACCCTACTGCAGCTGTTGATTCACTACTACGGCAGACTGGCGCTGCAGGAAGTGCCGTCCCTGTCACTGATAGACAAGCTGACAGGGCATATATACGACCTGACCCAGTCAACGCCGAACGTTGCTGCGGAAACCCTCCAGGAGATAATACAGAACCAGCAGGCTGACTTCACACAGATGAGGGAGACCAGGAGGCCTGTTGTTCTGGGTTTGGACACTGTGAGTTGCCAAATTTTGAACTGGTATTTATTTTTGTTTGTTGTTTAACACCGCACTCAGCAATATTTCAGCTATATGGCGGCGGTCTGTAAACAATTGAGTCTGGACTATACAATCCAATGATCAAAAACAGGAGCATCAATCTACCCAATTGGGTGAGGTGAGGTGAAATTGGGGTTAACGTCGTGATTGAGAATATTTCGCTCATATGACTACGTGCATGTATGTGTATGTGCGGCTGCTTGTACTAGCCCAGGCTGAAGCTGGTTTTATAGTGCTAGCTGCATACCATGCCGCAGTGAAGCATGAATACCCCACTCAGACACATTATACTGACTCCGAGCTGACCAGTCCTTGTTGTACCCATTAATGCCGAGCGCCAGGCAAGGATGAACAAGTACCATATTTTAACGTCTTTTGGTATGACGCGGTCGGGGATCGAACCAGCGACCTTCCGCTCTCTGGGCGGACGCTCTAACCACTACACCACGGAGGCGGTCCCCAATTGGGATACAATGACATATGGTCAACTAAGTCAGCAAGTCTGACCACCCAATCCCGTTAGTCGCCTCTATCAATATCTATTTGAGTTCGTACCTGAAGCAACTTCTAACTGCTATTATGCTGATAGTGGTCTGTCATTGGATCCGTCTGCTCTCAACTGTCATTCTGAACTCCCTGAGGGGTATACAAGAAGACAAGGATTCTGTGAATGACTACCAGGGATTAAACTTGAAAATGAAACTTTTTGCCAGTTGCTGTACCTGAAGCTGGTGTCAGTTCTGTTCCCCACCTCGGACTTCAACCATCCTGTGACCGTCCCTGCCCTCATCTTCATGAGCCAGCTGCTGGGACAGGTAATTGCTGCAGTTGTTTCACGTCTTTCTTCTAGACGCTAAGTATTATTAATTAATCTTTGACACTTCACAATGTTACATATATGTACATCTGGCCATTGTATAATTTTGCTGATTTATTTGTAAACATTGTCAGAAGTAGGTCTATTTGCTTATTGCACTATATGTGTCCCAGTGTATGAGATGTGTCTCTGTATTTCAGACTCCAGTCAACACTGAGAGAGATGTGGCCTGTGGCTTGTTCCTCTGTAATCTGTGCCTGGAGGTAGAGTATGCTCTGTTTTCTCAGATATGTTTCAGGCATGAATACAGAGTTTTGGAAGAGGTGGGGTGCATTAAAATTACGAATGTCTAGTATAAATGATAACATTTTGCATTTATTAGTTCAAAATTTGTTAGTTAAATGATATAAGTTTAAAGTTTTCCTACCTCACCCTACCTCACTCTATGTATCTCAGCATCCTTCTTCAATTGTGTTTAGAAACGATGCTAGAAGAATGTTTAATGCCTCAAAGACATGTCACCCATGCAACCTAATGTACCCAGACCCTCAATTTTTCTGGATAATACAGGTGTCTGTCTGTCCATAATTTGACAATTTTTATTTTTGTTGAAAACATGTCACCAAAGGAATTAGATATATACTTCAGGTCTTGAGGATTTATTTCAGTATGTGTCTGAGTCAAAGCGGTTTATCCCAGAAGTGATCAGCTTCTTGCATGGAGTGCTCTTCCTGGCCTCCAAAAAGGAACCCAACAAAAGTAGGTAGTCAAGCTGTTCAGCCTGATATATTGAGCAATAATTGTAAATGTCTCAATATAAAAATAAAAGTTGGTCTGTTTTACATGATAGTAATGTTTGTCTAACGTGCCTCAAATCTCTCGGCAAAGTTTCGTTTCAACATGCCAAAAACCTGTAATCATAATATGTAATCCTGATTCACCCAGGTTGTCTCAGAACAGTTCCTGTGACCTCTGTCAATTTTTCCTCTTGGGGGAGGGGTGGGGCCTAGAGGTTATAGTGTTCGCTCATCACATCCAAGACCGGGTTTGATTCCCCATGTTGGTGTGGTGTGTGGAGCCCATTTCTGGTGTCCCCCTCTGCGATATTGCTGAAAGGGGTGTAAAACTAAACTCACTCTTGCTCTAAATGAGTACAAGGTATGAAGCCCATTCTTCTAGAACATTGCTGCATGTGGACTGTTACCAACTCCTCACACATACCAACATCTTGTTACTCTTTGTTTTAGTTGAGAGAGTCTCAGGTCCATTCAAGCCAGTTGGAAAATCCATCAACCTGCTTCATATAAGTGATAAGAAGTCACGGTAACTAGCTCATTCTGAGTTCAGCTCTCAACACTTAGAATTACCATAGTTTCAGATAGTTTCACATGTTGGTGTGATAACTGCTGTTAAGTATGTGAGATCGAATTCCAAGTCTGTGATTGCTTAACACTGTAATGAGTAAGCATGGAAATGTGATACTGCGTCATACCAAAGACATTAAAATATGTCCCCATTGGGTCCCTTCGGCATTAAGTAAAGAGGGACTGGTGGGTAGTCCTAGTGGTTAAAGGGTTGGCTTCACTCTGGCTGAAGTCTCAGTGGTTAGCACTATAAAACCAGCTTAGGTCTGGGCTACAATGCAGAAGCACATTTCTGGTGTCGTCCCAGCCGAAATGATGTTGCTGGAATATTGCTAAAAGCGGCGTAAAACCAAACTCAGTCAGTGAGTCCAAGTAAAGATAGGTATAGCACCTCTGAATGTAATTTTGTCTGTAAAAGTGAGATAGCATTTACATGAGTATGCCATGTGTGAAGTCTAAGAGTATAATCCAAGAGCTGCAGTATGATAATGTTTTTGCAGGTCATGCATTATTGAGGCGATGAAGTTGAGTCAAGTGTTTGGAGTTGCTGTGGAGAGGGAAAGTCTTTCAAGCACACAGTTCAAGTATGTTGCGGATGTAATGACATACAAGAAAATCACATCTTACAATATAAGCCTGTTGTATTCTGGACGTTGGATTTCTTCAGTATGTGTCAACTCTCAGGTTGTTATGCTGTCAGCCGCTTGATGCTGTCATCATGATATTAACTCTTCAATCCTTGACACTGGTACCTCTGGGTTTTTTAATATGTCCATGTCTCTCTTTGGCTGACCATACTGAAAACATAAGTTTGAATTTTTTTTTGAAATTATCATCATATAAAACATCAATTGTAGGTACACTGTGCAGTACATAAGGCTGCCAGTCGTGAAGATCTAGGTTGGAATTGGTTTTAAACAACCTATGCTTGTCCTAAAAGGCTACTGGAGAGCGGGAGGTCGTGGGTTCGATCCCCGACCGTGTCATACCAAAAGACGTTAAAATATGGTACTTGTTGGTCCCTGCCTGGCGTTCGGCAATAATGGGTACAACAAGGACTGGTCGGCTCGGAGTCAGTATAATGTGTCTGAGTGAGGTATTCATGCTTCACTGCGGCTTGTATCTCAGTGGGCTAGCACTATAAAAAACAGCTTAAGTCTGGGATAGTACAAGCAGCTGCACATGCACATACACATACACACGCATGCACGTCGTCATATGAGCGAAATATTCTCAAGCACGACGTAAAACCCAATTTCACCTCACCTCACCTCACCTAAGAGGCTACTGACAGGATCGGGTGTTCAGGCTCGCTGACTGGGTTGCTACATGTTGTCGTATCCCAAGTGTGTAGATGGATGCTGATGATGTCACTGCTTTGGCCAGGCCAGACTCAATTATTTACATACCACTGCCAGATGGCTGGAAAATTCCTGAGTGTGGCCTAAAAAAACAAACTGTAAGGATGCATTAATTGTATAATGTTAAGCACCATTTTACTACTAGCCTTTTCCTCTGCAACCAAGTCTAATGTTGTTACCTCCAGGCTGTGTCTGCTACACTGCTGTGTGAGTCTGCTACAGGACGTCTCCCGACTGTACAGTGATCTGCCAGCACACATAGAGATATTCGCTCCTGTACTGTACATGTGTGACAGACTGCCAACCACCCACTATCCTACACAGCTCAAGGTATGTTTACCCCAGGGTTCAAGTTGACCCCCATTAAATAACCAATGGTGCTCATTATAACTTAAAGGGGGACAAGACTTAACAATCTCTACCATTGTGTGTTCTATGTTGGTATAGCTGTCATGTGCATAATTAAGAGATTGTCACTGTAAAATAGGGTTTGTTAGCTTAACTACATCATTAAATTTGAGACCGTGGAAAGTGAGGTACGAGGTTAGAGCTTAGAGTTACCTGCACTTGGCTGACGGGGCCCTGTAGGGGTGGTCAAACAATGCAAAAAAGTGTATATTTTGTTTTGTAAATATTTTTGTTGAGATATTCTTACAACTGTCGTAGGAATTAAAATGGACATTTAAATGCTTACATGTACCCCAAGGAGGATGCTCTTCAAAGAATCTGCAACTTATACAGGTTTGTTCCAATTTATTGGTGTATATGACATGTGGTGTAATCTCAATCACCTAACCTTATTCAGTGTCACTTATCACAATGGCTAGACATTCAGGCTATATTACCACATGTCATAATGGTACTCAGGTTCCATTTACAAGCATGGTTTAACCTGTTCTCAGTCACTGTATGGTATTTGTATATTTAACTGTGGGTTCATTCTCAAAATGCCTCCCAGTCCTGCAGTTGTCTGCCTTGATTCTGCAGGATGCTGTGAGCAGTCTGCAGCAGTATCTGAAGGGGGAGAGTCAGAAGGCCAGGAAAAGCCTCGTCTTCAACAGGGTGAAGCCCAAGCCTCTCCAGATGTTTGAACCACAGATAGAAGAGACGTAAGTGTACATGTTCACGCTGCAACAGGTCTTGATGAATAGGAGCAGGGTCGTATTGCAACTAACTTTCAACATTTTGTGAGCACTCCAGCTATCATTGCTAATTAATCTCATCAGCCATGTATATTTTGTTTCTTCCCTAAGGACCATTGGCTTCCTGTTATTGTCACTACATTATTTCCACCATCCGTTGTTGTTGTTAATCCCCTTGATTCATACCTACATGTTGTTATTACTTAATTCCTGTTCATGTATATAAGTCTGTTCTGTGCTGTAGTACTTCACTCTTGCTTGACAACGGTATAAGAATCCATACCGAAACGTCGCATCATATATAATTAAAGAAGTTGTTATCCATAAACAATCTTACTTTCTTATTAGTCACCAACTTCTAAATACCAATCAAACAGATTTTGTGAGTCCCTTGCCATGCTAACAGTACAGTGTATTTTGTACACTTGCTCTGAAGATGAGGCACTATTGTTCATAAATTTGGCATTTTTCAACTTTGAAGTGATATTATGAGTTATCACATCGTGTCGAGGGAAATACAGGGTTTTATCAGTCGGTAAGGTTGAATACAACCTACGAGGGACTGATAAAACCCTGTATTTAAGGTTGAATACAATCTTACGAGGGACTGATAAAACCCTGTATTTTCGATGTGATTACGCATTTATCTAGCCGAATGTTTTTACTAAATCAAAAGAAAACAATACGCATCGAATTGACTTGTTTTTATTTACGTGAGATTCCATGTTGACACCAGGTGATCGATTGACCTCAATGCAGTGCAGGTTACTAAAGGCTTTTCTCACTTCGCGTGGTCACTGAGGCGTGGCGTGGCGGGATAATAAGACTTTTGTACTCCATGCTCGCGGACCGTGACGGGTGTACATGGTATTTTATCAGAGTCACGTGAACCAATCAAAACTCGACATTCTTACATGAGGCTGGATAACATAAATTAAACTACTGAAGATGTGTATCCATTAAGTATGTGGGTGTGTACTAAACAGAGGCTGTGAATCTGTTATGTATACCAGTATGTGTACTAATGTGAGAATTCTCCAGGTGGGACGGCCACAAGAAGAAGAGTAGCGGCGGCAACAAGGCATACAACGAGAAGCAGCGCCTGCTGCACAAGGTGAAGAAGGAGACGAAGGGTGCGATGAGGGAGATACGGAAAGACTCACAGTTTCTGGCCCGGCATCAACAGCAGGAGACCATGGAGAGGTGAGCCTGACTCATTGTACTGTTTATGCAGCAACTTGCTGTGCAAAGTAACATCCCTTGGCCAATCAGGATCCTGGGGCCATGGGCATCCCAGATACACTGATCAGACTGACTGAGTTTGGTTTTACTCCGCTTTTAGCAATATTCCAGCAACATCACGGAGGGGAACACCAGAAATGGGCTTCACACATTGTACCCTTGTGGGGATTCGAACCCGGGTCTTCGGCGTGACGAGCCAATGCTTTAACCACTAGGCTACCCCACTGCCCCACACTGATCAGAATCCTTCTGTGTCTGCACTTTGCAGATCACACAATAAATTACTGACAGGAGCCCCTGTGGGCATTTAAGGTCTGAAAAGGTCCCTGACACTGTTTTCAATAACACCTGACTACATTAAGAACAAGCGTTGATTTGGCTCATGAAGACAAACAGTATACAAAATCTGCTTTCTGCTGCATGTATAAAAACCCATGATACATTGTACACTATGGGCTGTAAAATAGCTATGATTAATGTACCTTTAATTTCTCCCCATTCCAAGGCGGTGATATGTAGTGTCTAAGGGGTGCATGTATTACCTCCTCCCATTTGATCCAATCATGAAAGAATGTCCCATGGTGTTGCAGAGACTCAGACAGGAAGAGGAAGGTGAAAGTTCTGTATGGCCATCTTGCCAACCAGGAGGGAGACTACAACAAGCTCAAGAAGAAGAAGAAAAGATAACCTGCACTGATATACCTAATACTGTACATTGTGTAAATAAAATAATGATCATCAATTGTTCTTTCTAGTTCGCAGGTTGTCTTCTGGTGATCATATTTCACAAAGTTTCATTGTTATCTCAATATTGACAGTTCTGTATCCCATGCGCTGTCACAACAAAATACCTCATGATATCAATCACTGGATTGTCTGGTACAGACTTTATTATTTACAAACTGCCACCATATAGCTGGAATATAGCTGAGTGTGGCGTTAAATAACACCAAAGAGGTAAGCGCTCGTGAGTGAGTGAGTTTAGTTTTACGCCACACTCAGCAATATTCCAGCTATATTCGCGCCGCCCTTTTTAGTAATGGAGTCTGGACCAGACAATCCCGTGATCAACAGCATGAGCATCAATCTACGCAATTGGGATACGATGACGTGTCAATCAAGTCGGCAAGCCTGACCACCCGATCCCATTAGTCGCCTCTTACGACAACCATGGGTTACTGAAAATCAATTCTAACCTGGATCGACACTGGTAAAATGTTCAAGCATGGGGCTGTCTTACATAAAGTTGTCACATTTTTATAACTGGAATACTGTTCAAAGTGGCATTAAACTCAGTCACTCAATCACTCATACAACATGTACATTCCTGGAAAGTATAGCTGCACTGACAGACCGCCTCCACGGTGTAGTGGTTAGAGCGTCCGCCCAGAGCCCAGACCGTGTCATACCAAAAGACGTTAAAATATGGTTTTTGTTGGTCCCTGCCTGGCGTTCGGCATTAATGGGTTTAACAAGGACTGGTCAGCTCGGAGTCAGTATAATGTGTCTGAGTGGGGTATTCATGCTTCACTGCGGCATGGTATCTCAGTGGGCAGGCACTATAAACCCAGCTTCAATCTGGGCTAGTACAAGCAGCCGCAGATACACATACACACGCATGCACATCGTCATATGAGCAAATATTCTCAAGCACGACGTTAAACCCAATTTCACATCACATCACATGGCTGCACTGACACAACTGGAGTCAAACTGAAATATTACAGGTGACATTTATATTACAGCAATACACCATGTATTTATATGACTGACTGGGGCAAAAGGGTAAACTAGTGGTTAAAGCATTTGCTCTTCACGCCTATGACCTGGGTTCGATTCCCCACAAGGGTACAATGTGTTAAGCCTGTTTCTGGTATTCCCCTCCATGCGTTGCTGGAATAACTAACTTAAACTATATCTTGACTGCCTCAGATCTAAAGTTATCATTAGGGGCCCTGTTGTCTAAAGGTTGGACAACTGTATCACTTCAGGCGGAAAGACTTCCACCCGTATCCCCCCTTACGGGCAGAAGTCTTTCCCTTCGGGCATTCCTCTAGATAGGCAGACACACCATTGTTACGAGTGGAGGTGTAAAGGGGTATACCAAAAATCCACTCGTACAATTATATGGATTATAGAACAATTTGACTACAATTAATGAAAATTTATAAATAATATTTTAATAATGGTTTGTTACAAAATACTGGTTCACAAGTGTACATGATATGTTGAGGGCATTGTATCAACAATAATTATAACCTGAATTATTACATAAATTTTAACTGCTACGATAGCCTTGCTTATCATTATGGTCTTGACGATAGTTATTTTGACTGACCATGACCTTGTCCACCAATACCTTCAGCATAGTAATTTGACTGACCCTGGGATGATTGACCATAGAATGTTTGACCACTACCACGCCACTGATAGTTTGCAGTTGAACTATATCGACCTGAATTATTGGTAGTACTGTCACGACCATGAACTTCACTGGAACCACCTCTAGACTAAGCACTTCGTGAAAACTCCATGAAAATGAGTAGCGTATAGTCATCTGCCAGTCTAGCTGCTTCGGCCAAAGTATTCACTCTTTGTTCATCCAAGTACACTTTAACCTCAGTAGGACTACACCTTCTAAACTCCTCAACCAAGATTAACTGTTTCGTAATCATGTACAACCTCATTGGATGCACACCATCTATCCAATGCAGTCTCTTTGAACCTGGCTAACTCAATATATGTTTGATTGGCATATTTCTGTAATTCCTTAACCTTTGTCCGTAAACCTCTGGTACCAACTCATAAGCTTTCAAAATGTGTTCCTCAACCAAGTCATATGCGCTATCCTTCAAAGATAAAGCTGCCTACACCTCATGAGCCCTACCAACTAGCACACTTTCTAGTCCAACACTATCTTGGCCATTTCAAGTTAGTTGTAGTTTTCTCCAAATGATGAAAATATGTGTCCACTTTATGTTCTAAAAAACAAGGTACAAACCTATGAATTTGGAAAGATCTATCCCCTGCTGATGGTGTGAAGGTCTGTTTAACTCAAACTGCCTCTCAAGTTCTAACTTATTCAACACAAATTGTCTCTGTCACTCTTTCTCTTCTTGCTCATACTCTCGTTCCACTTTCATTCTCTTGTTCTAACTTTAACTTTTCCAACTCGAACTGTTTTCTCAATGTCCAACTGAGTTTTATCACATTTCTTCTCAACTTGTATGTCAGAAGTGCTATCCATTGTAACTAACTTGATTTAGTTAAGTCAGTCAAAACAATATTCTGAATGAAACCTCTCTTTGCTGACATATCCACTTCAATACCGTAATAGTCAACTATCTAAAACAGTTTTACTTTGACAAACTTAGAATTTTTGTCCAGGTCATATACCTCACAAACTCTGCAACTTCAAACGTCGATACTCCAGAAGAGATGCATATGCCCTGAAGAGATGACAAGCAATATGCAAACAGGACTGTTGTGCTTTCCAAAGATTTTATAACACTAAGCAAATTTATGATAAAATATAATCGAATATCACAAATGGAAATATGCCTCCAGCTTAATATTTGACCCCACTTTGTTACGAGTGGAGGTGTAGTAAAGCGGTAGACCACAAATCCTCTCGCACAATTATATGGATTACACAACAATTTCACTACAGTTAAGGAAAATTTATTAACACTATCCTAATAATCTAAGTTAGTCACAAAATACTGTTTTATAAGTTAAGTGTGCATAATGAAGGTCATTCTATCAATGATTGTTATGGGTTGCAATATGGCACTGCGTGTGTATATGTGTATGTGCAGCTGCTTGTACTAGCCAGACTGAAGCTGGTTTATAGTGCTAGCCCACTGAGATACCATGCGCGAGTGAAACATGAATATTTTCTCGATGTCCAATGTTTGAAAAGCTTCCATTTTATTTTGAAGGAACCATTAGCAAAGCCATATACAATATTTTACATATGTGGGTAATGTGGTTAACGAGATATTAGTCATCACAACACATTGGGGTATAATCTTTCTTAAACAATTGCAGAAAATGAAAAACGATCTGTCATTTGGTACCTCTTGGATAATGGTATGACCTCAGATAATATCATATAAAATATGTTCAGTATAGATTGGATGACTACCCGTCTTAATTAACATTCAAATATTTGGATTGCTTGGTTTATGTTTAGACAGACTGTTTTTCAAGGACACCCCCATTTTAATCTTTCAAAAACATTGTGTCCAGCTATTCAAGCTGGCCCTGTTTAAAATATATTGAGAGCTGACACTTGTGTGACCATTCAGTATTTAGTTTGAACCCTTGGCATCATGTATGAGTATGTGAAAACATTAGAATAAGTGATGTCCTTATGATTACGTCATCTGAAAGGGGGTGGGTAGTGTCTCCAAAACAAGCTCTTCAGTAAACATGAAGTGCTGGGGGGGAGGTTGTCACTTTAACAAGCGATTGTAGTTTCACTTTCATATCTAAGTTTGATTCTAGCAGACTTCTACCTATCTCAAACACTCAAAATGTTTCTTACATATTTTGTTTCCTGAAGTTTGTGATGCATTTATGTTGATTTTGCATTTTTGGGGGGTACCAAGATAAAAAGTCAAACAAAATGGGGATCGTGAGGCTGGAACATAGCAAAACCAATTTGCTTGAGGTTGACGAAAGACTCCCGCTCATACCTCCCCTTAAATTTCATTCTAGTCAAATCATATCACCTGAATATATATTCCTCATCTGATAAGGATGAGTTTTAACATATATCTCAACATATAGACATATAACAGATTTATTAAAATGATCTGGCCATCCCTTTGTACTCCTCTTACTAATCTATTCAATTTATCCCTAGAATATTGTAAATTCCCAACAGTATGGAAGGAAGCTATTGTCACTCCTATTCATAAAAAAGGTAGTTTTAATGAATGTAAAAACTATAGACCAGTTGCTCTTACCAGCTGTTTATCAAAGGTATTTGAGAAATGTATTTTTAAACATGTGTTTAACTTTTTTTTACATAATAACGTATTAACGAATTTGCAGTCAGGATTCATGCCTGGGGATGGAACTGTATACCAACTGACATACTTGTATGATTTTATACTACATGCATTAGACAATGGCAAAGAAGTCAGGGCAGTTTTCTGTGACATAAGCAAGGCTTTTGACAAGGTTTGGCATAAGGGAATCATAGCGAAAATTAGAAACTTATGGTATTAAGGGTAAGTTACTTGATTGGTTTTCCAGTTATCTTGACAATAGATTACAGAGAGTAGCTATAGACAATTACAATTCAGATCTAAAGAAAGTCACTGCTGGGGTGCCACAAGGATCTGTCCTTGGGCCATTACTGTTTTTAGTTTACATAAATGATATCATTGAGGGTATCAGTAGTAACATTCGTCTTTTTGCCGATGATACTTCGGTATATGTTATTGTTGATAATCATGTTGTTACTGCCGCTTCCTTAAAAAATGACCTAAACAGGATCTCTCACTGGGCTGAAATATGGCAGGTTAGCTTTAATCCTGGTAAGACTGAAGCTGTTTTATTCACTCGCAGAAATACTGATAATCAATTTCCAATTCCTAAGCTTAAAATGCATGGAGTAGACATTACTGGAAGTCGGCTACCATAAACACCTAGGAGTAACCTTGCAATCAGACTGTAAATGGAACTCCCACATTGGTAAATTAGTTAAAAGGTTCTCATCCATTGGTAAATTGTCT